CAGTGGGAGTTTTGCCAATTATTTTCAATAGGAGCAGAATCTGGGTTAGATTGAGGTTTCTTGCTTCTGCCCACAGCAACATAGATGCATTCCAGAGCACTTTCAGGAAGAAAAAAAAAAAGGGCAAATTCCCAGTTACTGTGGCAACAGGAAGGATGATCTCTTTGCTAACATGTAATTTTGAAATTCAGTAGCTGTTTTGTGCCATCACATGTGTTTCTCTCCTCTGTCAAATTAATGTTTTCTTCCCGTGAGGAAGGCCCATCAGGGAAAGGGCACAGAAGAAAACCATCAACACAAACAGACTCCAGAAGCCTTTTCACATTTCCCACCTCACATCTGCCATAATGGCAAAATTATGTTTGCAAACAACGAGGAAAAACTGCCTTAAACATGTACCTCCCAAAACACAGAGAATTAAATCAGCCTGCTCTGTGAATGCCCCTCAATGGATGTGAGAGATGAATGGTAACAAAATGGCCTCAGAAGAATCCTAAAATCTCTTCTATGGAGAGCATCAGCTAAAGGCTGCACAGATTGTCCAACTCTGGCTGCATTTATCTTTGTTTCTTAACCTTTTCTCCACTAAGGTCCTTGTTGTTGTAGTCCTCGGACTTGTTGACTATTTCATTAAGGGCTGTAAACACCTGCTGAGATTTAGGGCAAGGTTTTACAGTTTCAGGAAAGCAGTGGTATATACAAAATATGACTGATGATGCCCTAAGGACTGGCACTGGCAGACAAACCATAATCAGGATGCAAATGAATTTCTCTTTCCTTCCAACTTGTGTTCTCTGTTTTACAGGAGGCAGTTCCCATGCTGACAGGCAGGTAGCCCTATCCACGGACAAAGAATACAGCAAAACCTGCCTCTGCACTCAAGGACAGTGAAGAGACTGGAAACATATATTCTCTGTGTTTGGGATTATTTAGTTTATGTAGAATACCTGGGTCAGAGCCCAAACTGCTGAATCTCAGAGTCTACATTAGCTGAGACTCTAGTTTAGTACGTATATTTTAATTAAACTTCTGAACTCTTCTGATATTCTTTATTAAAAAAACCCAAACCTCCAAACAACCTCCAAGGGGAAACTGAGGAAGCAAAAACTGATGTGATTTCTTTAAAGTAATGGTGTGAGTCACTGCCAGAGTTCAGGAAGGAGGCCTTGCCTCCTGAGCATCAATACAATATAACTGATGCAAAGGCAATCCTTGAAGTTTTTTGAGCTTAAACAACAGCTTAAGGGGGTCTGAACTGCCCTGTGCACTTCAGTGAATTGTTATCCGAAGGGCTTATGGCTGATACCCTAAGAGTAATCATTATTAATTAAATAATCACTGAACAAAGCATGCTTGAAAGGGACAGTAACACTCCTCTGTGGAGTTCAGGGTGTTGTATTAGGGACAGAAGGCAGTGAGCTTCGAAGAGCACTTGAAGAAAAGCACCCTGAAGCTGCATATGAGGCAACTGGGCTCTTTCAGCAAAAGCCAAACACAAGAAGACAAGGAAGTAACTGGAGCCTCAGCGATACAAGCATAGCACAGCTAGTAGGTGGTATTCAAGTGTCTTGGGGGCAACTCAAGCCAAAGGGACTCCTGAGGGCATTTACAACTATGCCATCTGTCCCTTATAGTTGGAGCTTATTTTGTAGACATTTTTTGGAAGAGAAGTGATACCATCTTTCTCCCTGAGTTTAACCCTACTGGTGATTGACTGCTGGCATGAGTGCCAAAACATTCAACGCAGTAGATAACACTCCAAAAAAATCCAACCAACCAACCAAAATACCCTGTCACTTACTCATGGTACATTTTCTGTGGTATTGTCTTAAGCTGAAGCCATTAAGAAGAGTCTCTGTTTCTCAATTTTACTTTGTTACACAGTGCTCATTCAATCAATTTTCTAGCAGGTCTATCCAAAATCAGGACAGCTTCAATGTGACTCAGCTTCAGGAGGGCAGACAGGCCTTGTCAGAGCTGGTTAGTAAACCAGTCTCCAGCACCTGAGTGGGTTGAGGTGGTGCAGAAGGCAGTTTGTAGGCAGTAGGATAAGCAAGATACGGAATCACATAGGTAGGCATACTAACCAGACATTTCTTCCCGTGTGACATACATGACAGGTAAGCATGTCAACCAATTAAGTGAGTATGACACCTTAGTAGAGGATGTCAGCAAGCTGTTTGGCTTTGAAAATACATTTGCACTTGTCACGTGAATAAAGATTGAAATGCAGAAGTATTAAGAAATACAATAGAACTTAAACAATATGGAACATGAAATTGTGCAAAAGCAAATATGACTGCCTACTGGAAAAGAAAAAAACTAACATGATTTGTGGAATACAAGAGGCCAGAGTGTAAGCTCCACAACTTTGCTGGGTGGGGGCGTACATCGAGGTATTTTTATTGGCTTCGGAGTGGGAAGTGTTGCTCTCTACCGTGTGTACCCAGAGGCTATTTGCTTCCTCACCAGAGGATGGCAGCACAGAGATCCTTTACTTCCATAGTCGGCGAAGCCTGTGGCGGGAAGACGAAGGTACAGCACTGGATAGTACACCAAAGCCAGAAGAAGGATTAATTTGGCATTCATAGATGCAGGCCACAGGTGCTAAGAAGAACACTCCTATCAACAGTCTGCTCTAAATGGGGCACATATATCAGAAAAACAGGCAAATAAACTTCATGGAGTGACCTGTTTACTTGCTCTCTGCTATTGTCTCGTGCAGAGAATTTTCTTTGCGTAACAACTGTCCCCACTACATGGCCAAAATCAGTCCACAGCCTTCCTTCACATCCTGAGCAACTCCTCTCAACAGAGGCATAATTGCACTGTTTAGTGTTAGGCATCACATCTGTGCTCAAGCCTGGACTGTCATGTAACAAAAACAGATAATGTGACCCAAAGCCACAAGGTCACAGAAATGACACGCTGTGTACTAGGAACTAGCCAGCAACCACCGCCCTTAGACCTGGCACTTGGAACAACCAATGGCATTGAAGACACTGTATTCAGTAACAGTTTGGAAAAGAAATGGGTAACAAGTTAGTTTGCTAATAGTATTTAATTCTAACATTAACAGCCAACTGTGAGAAACTAGACAATTTGTCAGATGTAAGAGGACTAATTTTATAAACCATGTGTTACAAAACTCACCTTATTGAATTGAACAGGAAGAACTGAAAGCAAGCTGAAGATCTGTTATTTTTCAGTACTTAACATCATCACCCATACAAGGAACTTTCAGCTTAAATGTGGATTGACTCTACCCCATAGCACATGTAATGAATCTACATCTGACATATCTCACAACTTTTTTACCAAAGCAGCATTATTTTTGTGTTAATTACAAAGGAAAAACTTCAAATCTGCTAGTAATCAAGGTGAGTTCTCATCACACTACCTTACCACTATGGCTACACTTTTCTTTAGCAGGCACGTCTTTAAGAGGAAGTGTGATAAACACGACTCAATTCCTACTGAAGACAAAGGAAAGGCTCCTGGTGATTTCAGTGGAGTTGTGTGCAAATCAGTTCTTGGCCTCCCCACTCAGATGTCATATAAGTACACCAACCAGAGCCTACTGTGGTAGTGGTTTGGTTTTGGTTTGTTGTTTGGGGTTTTTTTTTAAATAGTGAATTCTGTCTACAAATTAATTTGGAACACCAGACATCACCTTCCATGTATTATATGCCACAAAGTAGCAAATTTTGGCCATGAATAATAAATCCATTTCTGATTTTAAACTGTGAAAGTAAGCTATATGCCCTATGAAGACACCACTGTAAAAATCAAAATAACCTGATCTGAAGAAAACCTGAGCAAGTCACCCCTGTGACTACTTCAAATTCTGATACCTAATTATCATATGTATATCCTATGATATTAATGACCCCACATTTTTTTTCTAAAGGAGCTTCAATGTTCTGGCAGCAACAGGGAGTAGTGGGTACTCCCCAAAAGATCATGAGCAACTGATACAAATCTTGCTGTAGTCTGTAGGCACAACTTTCCCATGGCCAATCTTCCTCTTACTAGACTACATGTTTCTGACTGGATCATCCTGTGGATTTTGCTTGTTTAGTAAGAAGGATGATCTCTAGTGAAATGTTTCATGCCTTCTCTTCCAAAATCAAACTAGGAAAATGTACATTTCTGTAATGAAAGCCCTGAGTAGAGCCAGTGTCTGTTAACTGTGTAACCATCTAAACGTTTCAATTATGACATTTCCCAGGGTCATGACCTGCAATAGTAACTGCGAGGTGTTTCTGAAATGTTACATAGCCTGTATTGGTAAAAGAGGAGATGGAAGAAAATTCAAGAAAGGTAACGAAATACAGGAAATTGCTGCTTTCTTTCAAGCCATTCCTTCTTCAGGATTTCTAGTAAGATCAGATAGTTGGTGAATTCTCACTTTGCACAAGAATAAGAGATAATTTCCTTACAAGAAATGTCTGAGAGCTTAATTCCAGCCTGGCAAAAGCAAACACAGTTACACTGATTTCAATGGAATTACAGACGGGCCACTTAGTGTATAACAGTGTTGATTTGGTCCTTCTCCCGTACTGTAGCTCTGCTTTGCCTAGAAACCTTTGCTTTCAAAGTAATTCACCATGTGTAAACATCCTGCAACACTAAACTGCAATTAAATAAATGAGTAGGAGATAGATGTATATCTTAAAACTTATCTCAGTAGTAGACTTCAACAGCAAGTATCGATCTTTATTCTGTTTAATATCAGGATCTTATGTCTATATCACAGACAAGAAACTTAGGACCTGCAGAACAATATCAGCTGTTGTACAAGTATTTCTTCTTCCAACAGTTTCCTACAAGCATTAAACTGGGATCATGTATAAACATAGTGAGAGTCTCAGGAAGAACTTGTTCTTCCTTATAAGCCATCTCAGCACTACAGCAGGTGGGCACAGGATCTCTTGTTAAAAGCACATACAGTGAGAGAGAGTGAGAGAGAGAGACAGAGACAGCAGAAAATTGCTTACTGTTTCGAGGCTTCTCCTCATCCATGCCTTCATCTTCATTTTCTGGGTCAATATCTTCTGCTTGAGTTATCCAGTCTAAGTATCCCTTCAAATCCTCCTCTAGCTGTTGTTTTTCCCGTAACTTCTGGAAATCGCCCCGAGCTTTAGCCTTCTCTCTTTCTTTGGAAAACTCCCTAGCAAGAGGGAGGGAGGGACAGGACAAGGGCGGAGGGAAGGAAGAGATTGAAAAACAATGGGTTAGACTGATTTCCACTAGAAAGTCTCCACATCCTGTGTAGCACACCCAGCTTTCTCTATTCTTTCAAGACAGACACATGAATGAAGTATCCTTGCTAGATACACATGTGAAACAGCTGGAGTGTCCACATTTTTACCAATGCTTAGGAAAAGATGAATATCTTTTTTTTAATCCTTTCATTCTCAACATTTCATTGACAATTCAAATAAAACACATATGTAACATTTATGTACAATACCATACACTTTCTAATATTCTTTACCACTTGACATTCTCCATAAATATCTATATGAATAATGGTTAATTTAATTCTACGATGAACTGTTTGACAATAATCTGATATCTGGAGAGTGAGATGGTGGCTCTAATTTTTAGCCAGGTTTCAATCTGTCTTTAAGATTGGGTGTAATCACAAGTAAATTGGGCTAATTGTAAGTGTAATTAATGGTACTCAAAATTCTGTACATATTTAACTACAGGCAATTTTACCTACAGTACGAGACAACATATTTAAAAACTCAGACCTCAATGTTTTTCTGCAGACTTTCAGTATTCAGGGCTGTTATCTGACACAAAATATATTTTTCAAATTTGAAGTTGGGTAGACAAACTTGATAAAGTACGGGTAGACAAAACTAATAGATTCTGTCAGAAAGCGAACTAGGGTAGACATCTGATAGTTTTGTGAAAAAACTATTGGGAATAAAGCCTTAAAACAGGAACAAGAATTTCATGTTGCTTAGTTATGAAACTGGGTAATTGTTTTGCCTTCTTTTTGGCTATGGCGCTGTTTCTTCCTCTCTTTCAGAGACACCTATACTGCATTATTTTTCTTCTAGAAATGCTGACCATACCTCTATTTAGAGATTCTCCTGTGGTTCTAAGCCAGGTTTTAATGTTTGTATTTTTAAAAAGTAAGCTTAATGATTGTGAAAAGTGCTGGGCCAAGAGCACTTAAGCATTAAATCTTGTATCTGCTGAAGCAGATCACTATATAAGGCACACACAGCAGATACTATAGCCTACTGTTTCTAGAAATGAGAGGTAAAGTAATTCTCTCCAGTGCATTATCCATTACCATTGCTGGTGACTGTCAGCAATGAGTGGATTTTAAAACAAAAACCTCCACCTAATATTTGTCCTAGCTTTGCTGTTGCAAAAACAAATAGGAAACCTACTACTAACTTTGGTAGGATAATATTAGGATTATGAAAATCCTACCCAAAATATTAATGAGTGCCACACAAAGTGTCCTCTAGCAGCTGAGATGGAGGTGAGTTTCTAACAGTGATGGTGAAGTACTTCTCTCCTGTCTGGTACAAAACCCACTGAAAGATTTCTATTGACTTCACAGGCTCTGGATCAAGTTTTCAGTATTATAAGCTGTGCACAGAACCAGCAGCAGAATGAAAGTAGGATGAGGTCTTCATTTCAAACTAAAGTATGAGACAAAGTATGCCTGTGTGATCTTCACTCCTGTCACATTGGTGAGGATTCAGTCCACCCCATGAGACCGTGATAATGAAGGTGGAAATGAGAAGAAGAATCATTGGCATTTCAGGCCTGAAGGTAGATTACAGTCAACCTTGGGACCAAACTTAGCCACAAGGCAGAAACAACTAATGCAAGCATGGCAAGAACAAAAAATCAATTTTTCTCATGCTGGGAGTACTATTTTGCTATTAAAAATGTAAAATAAATGAACAAAATGACCCCCAACAAGAATAATAAAAACTGCACAAAGAATTTTAGAAAAATTCAATCAATAGCAGTTATATTTTCTGCTTTAGTAACATCTTTCCTCTGGGTCTGACATTCCAACTTAAGGAATTAACAGTCAAAATAATATCACTGAATGAAGCTATGTATTATTAAGCCTCTTTGATAAATCAAATCCCAGTATTTCAATTGTTGGCTCCTAAACTGGTATTTTAGATCTAGAAGAAGTGAGTCCAATTTTGAAAGGGACTGAGCCCTTGGCTCCAAGTGAGAACTGTTTGTATTAGCATGTATATTAATTGCAAGGGGCTGTTTTAGAAACCCAAGTGGAAAACATCCTGAAACAGCCCAGCTTACAGAAAGAGAAATTCCTACTGTGCACTGAAGCGGATCATTTATGTTAGATGCATCTAAACTGCATGCCTACTTGGGTCTTTTCAGTCACTGTCTCTCTCAAATGAGACTTGAGCTGGAGGGAGAGATGACTAAAGCAACATGAGATTTCAGCATGATGTCTTTACACTGACTGTCTGCATAAGAGTAAATTTGTTACCTAGCTTTTTAATGGCCCAACTGAAAATACTCCGATTGCCTAAATGATCTGCAATTGCATGTCTCTTTCCTTTGTACAGTGTACGATACTCCACATTTCAGATGACTCTCCAAAGAAGACAACTTAGTTAAATTATCTTAATTTCTATGCTCTACTACCATTGAACCACTGAGAACAGGTGGCGCAGGAAATTGCTAATGCAATTCAAACCACCTCCCATGTGGAATGTCAGCCTGTACTCAGGCAAATGTAGTTCAGAATCAAGAATTACTGTCAATGGTCATTTATCATCCCGCACGAAATGAGTTGATGACCTCCGTCCACTTCCTATTGCAGGCAGGTGTGCACATTACCTCTGCCACCATCACAGTTGGCAGTAAATGTTCATTGTTTGCAGTTTCAGTAGGGAGGCCAAGGATCAAATAAACTTTCCGATGGAAGTGCCATCTTAAGTCCAGAGGTGGCCTTCTCAAAAAAGATTGCACTATCATGTCAGGATAAGATTGGCAAAAGTGTGCAGAACTACCAAGCAATTTGCCTCTTTTCATTGAACAAGTGAACATCAGTTTAAGAATCGGTAAATCTCGTTGTTTTTACCAGAATTCAGTTTGCTTCTCTTTCCTTTACTTCTCCCAGAAAATTATGATACATGTTTGTCAATGGGAATACCAAAAAGCAGAGTATTCTGGAGAGATGGTTTTTCTGTGTGTGGACAGAGTGGGTCAAGATCATAAATACAAACACCCAGCTCTGTATCCTGTGCTGTTCCAGAAGAAAATTTCTCTTGCAAATCCTGATGATGGAATATAGGTAAGTCTTGTTTATATCCGATATCAGTATGATTTCTCCCATATAGAGAACTGATGGAAAGTGATCAAAACAGCAGAATTCTACCAGTTCCAAGCTCTTGCTTACTACTAGAAGTGCAGCATAAAACTTCAAATCTCATCCAGCCTGAGAAGTACACCAAGGAATGGGAAGTGCTAGAAGAGGGGACAGAAGACAAGGAAAAAATACTGAAAGTCATAAAAACTGCTCCAGGAGAAGCTACAGCCATAGCCAGCCTCACATTCACTCTGACCTCTTCCTTGGCAGTAAGAGCATCAAAAGCAGCCAACGGAGTTTTCCAGGATCCTCTCAAAGCAAAAGAAACAGTTGTTCTCCTGTCTTCCATTTGCTCTAAGCAACTGCTTGTTTGGCCTGTGTCCTGGGATTTGGATCACTGCTAGGCAAAATATAAAAGAAATGTGAATCTATATGCTCAGGCATGCAGGTCTGAAAGTTGAACCCACACTGCCAATTTTTCCCTCACTAACTGACTGAAACAAGTAACACAGATGTGAACATCTCTGATCTCAAGAGACCCTCAAGAGGGGCTTCACTGCTCACAGCAATGATGTGAAATCCTTTCACCTGGGCTTGATGTGGTCTACTGTGTGATCTGCTGACTGGATATTTCCTGTGGAATACATGCATTTTATATTGTGCTCAGTCAAGGCAGGAAGAGGATTATAGCTCTACACATTAATACTCTGTCATATTATTTATCTTAGCACATGACTAGTAAATTCACCAGGACTGTGAATGGATTATATACCTGAGGAAAAACACATTACAAATGAGCTCTCTAGGCAGAGCAGAACTCAGCATTTGATGCTGCAGGTGTAATCAAGGTGTCTTTGTGAGTACAATTAATTACACTTACATATTCAGAAGTTATTAAAAAAACCCTAAGCTAATCTGTCATTGATGAAGTCTGCTTACACGACATGCTTGGTAAGGTTCCAGAAATAGATATATGGGAAGTGATGCCCAAAATGGATTTACAAAGATGCCCAGGAATGCTGCTTTGTATCTACATAGAACAGACAGGTGGATCATCTACATAGATCAGATTAATAGCAATAGCAAGTCTCTAAAAAAAAAAAAAAAGCTGAATCTGCAAAGTGAAGACACTTCGCAACTCAGCAGAATTTAGAACTACTTTAGAAAGTTAATTGTTTAAGAACTGCTTATTTAGCCCAAAGAAAATTTGGAACATTTCCACCATAATTTCTGTGCTTTTTCATGGATGCACATTATTAAGTTTCTTTTTACTTTTCTCCAGTTGGGAAAAATTTTGCAGAAACAGTGCAGCTGTCGTAACACCGTGAACACAGCCAGAAAGAGTGGACTTCATCTTTGATGTCAGTTCTCTGTACAGAATGTTTCCATCTCTCACCACTAACTGTGGTGGCCTAGCTGCAATATGTTAGGAGGTGGAAGATCTAGGCCTCAAAACACTTGAGTTGAAAAATGAGAGAGAAAGGAAATTCAATTTTTAATTATGTACAGATACACATCTAAGTGTAGGTAAATTGAATCAGCAGTGCTTCAACAGTATGTGCTCCTCAGGGCTGGGCTCACAGGCACTTTTTATCTAATCAGATACCATATAATAAACTCTGTGAATAATCTTTAGCCACTGTACTATATGGTCCTTGAGTGCACCTCTGATATAACAGATCATTTTCCCTCTGTCAGCTGGTCATTATCTTCCACTATTGCTGACATCCTTACCTGCTGATCAGAGTATCCACCTGGAGAAGCGAGAAGCTTATGTTTTAAAACTGTACCCAGAGTATCACTCTCCAGATATTCAAACACAGACTATTGCCTGACACTTCATTACTGCGGACTTTTTCCTGCTCCCATTACTGCCTGGCAACACTTCTCTTTACAGCAGCTGTCTTAGTGTCATGTCTCCTTCAATGGACTAATGAAGACAGTAGTAATATCTCCTGCAGATCTGCTATTACCTGGCTCTGAAGGATGGCCAATGGTGGATCTTCTTCTCCAGTCCTACTACTGCCCTTCCTATGTTTTAGGCCCAAGTACTGAGGACATAATTTCGTAAGACATCAAGTCCTCTATCCTGCTCAAAGACTACTTTCCCTCTTGTATGACCAAAAGACAGTGGGCTTCAGGACTCAGGCAACAGGTACAGGCTCTGACCAAATTCATTTAGAGCTCAATAAAGGAGCCAGGATGGTAGAAACAAAGAAAAAGAGGATGCATAAAAGTCCTCATACCATATTTATCCATGTACATAGAGTGGCTGTAGGAACCCAGTCATGCCCAAATAGGGAATTAGGAGCCTGATTCTAGGAGATATTTTTTTAAAAATATTGTGAGGAATGTTTGCTGGCTTGATTCCTCTAATTATGTGGCAACCCAGGGGCAGTAAATTTTTTAACTAGTGGGGACAATATCAATTGTTTTTAATCAAAGCTATTAAAATGATTCTTTGCAGTGAGGTTTATACCACAGAACTGAAATACAGCTAAGTGTCTAGATGTCTTAGGAATGCCTAAACACTAGAAGGAATTCTCCTTCTTCTCTGTTCATCCTTAGAAAAGGTCAGAAGGAAGCAATCTTTTCTCCCTGCATCATTCTAGGCTTGTAATCTGCACAAAAGAAAAGATGTGCTTATTGAAGAAGAAACAAGCCCAAGACACACTCTAGGGAAAACAGTCTCCCATTAGGCTGCGCTTTAGAGACACTAAGCAATGTGAAAATTTCTCATGTGAGAAGACATAATTGGGCAGGAATCTCATCCCACAAATGGGAAGGGATTTGCTCTCATTCCTCCTTCAGTCCTACTGACTCTTCCAAAAATTTTCCTGTAATCACCTTTTTCTGTGGTGAACGGTATGCCTCGCCAACTGGGAAGCACAGCGTTGACCTCTGCCCACAGAGAACAGGTAGAGGTTTTAGGTAGAGGAACATGTTACAGGCAAAGAGTTGTCTTCTATTCTTTTGATTTAGTCAAAAGACTCCTTCAATGCCATTAGGAATGCTGTGTTTTGCTATTGGCATAGCAATAGCCTAGGCCTTCTATTAAGGTTCCTGAGATCAACCCACCACTGACCGTTGTTTTGGTAACCAGAGAGTAGGAATAGAAATACAGATTTTAAAAAATAAACAATAATAAAACATTTTCCTGGTACTGCTTACCCGCTAAGTACACCGAGAACCAAGTTAAGTACAAAAAATGACCCTATGATGATTAGTGTAACAAAATAGATCCAGGGCCAGTCCCTTCCTATGGCATCATTGACCTGGAAGAGTGGAATGATAATTAGTGAGACAAGCTCAGATTCTGAGCACTGCAAGGCTCCAGCCAAAGAGATCCCAAGTCACCAGCAGTAAGATTTTCAATAGCCAGTTTTCTGAAAATTTATGACAGGTTAACATTAGCAATTCTGAATGCCCTGAGGCTGAATTTATTTGTCAGAGAATAACACCTCTTTTGTTACCTGTGTTGTTATTTGCAATGTTTTGTTAAAATATTTGAGATGTGAAGCTTCCTTGGATTCAGATTTTTAATCCTTCTGAAAGAATCCTGGTGACAGGGAAGAACCCTTATTATGGAGTCTTGCCCTGTAGCATTGGAAAAAGGACACCAAAACTGTCAGCTTACCCGCTCAACACACCAAGAACCAGATTTAGAACGAAAAAGGATCCAAAGATGACCAGACTGACAAAATACACCCATGGTAACTCATAGCCCATAGCGTCCTGCATCTGGAAAGACGAAGGAAAGTTAGAAGACAGAGAGGGAAAGCAGAAATGATTAGGCAAAGGAACAGATGGAAAGGTTTGTAAACAGAGCCTGTCGTTGGTTTACACATAATCATAGCAAGTGTTTCTGTATGTTCTTTCTGATCTGACTGCTCCTTTGATTGCTTTTTTTCCTCTAGCTGTTTCCTTACAGGCAATGATTAATATAGGCTGAGATATAAACATTTGCCGTAGTGGCACTTCTTTGGATGCTCAAAGCTGTGGACTTTCACTTTCTGGAGTTGACTTACAGCATCACAAGAGTCCACCCAATGACTTCTAAACTTCTAACTACTGCACATACATATGACTCTTTGCTGCTAGTGAAAACGTTGCTAGTTTTTGCTAAGCATTGCCACAGCGTGTTGCCAAAACACACTAACTTCCCATGTGTAGCACAGGTATACATACCTCAGAGAGAAGCATGTGGTAATTGTGGGTACATACTGATCTTTCCCTGGCAACGCTCTGGTAATCTTCATAGTTTGCCACAGTGAGGGCAGTAGCTGTATGCTTTTGAGGAAGGTTCTTTCAAGGCCCACTATGTTTGGACCTGGTCAAGTGTTTTCTAAAGCTTTCTCACAAACTTCCTTTCTCTCCTTGAAGGAAGAATCTCTCCTTCAAAACATAATTCCTACACAACTTAATACTCAGAGAATTTGAGACTGTAAACTGAAGACCATGAGCATAGGTCTGGCTTTCACACTACTTTAAGCATCTGCAAATGAAGCAAGCAGACTATTGTTTTAGCCCCAGAACCTGTATTATGTGTAGAGCAAATCTAGCACATAAGAAGATATTGTATATATTCTAAAAGCATCTAGTACATAAACACTGTTTTATCTTTAAGTCTCCTTCAAAGTTCAAAATTTTGGAAAGTTGCTGGATACCTTAATAGAATGTCACTTTCATGATGGTATCAAAAATATCAGAGTACCTTCTTTACTTTTTATAAACACTTATCTCCTGAGCCAGACATAGCATCATTAGAGAAACAGATGGTGGTTAGCATTTTTGGGAGCACTAAAATGATTTATTAATGTAAATTTCAGACTTAAAAGTATCTAAAGGCATAATGTAGCCTAGGTTCCTTTGTTTTTCATGCTTTCAAATATTTTATCGTATGTTGTCCTCTCATTCCAGCAAAATGCTCTCTCCTTTGCAAACTAAGCATTTATTGTGATCACAGAAGAAATATTCTTCCATACATGGGCACTGAGACACACTTCAGGTGAAGCGATCTGACTCAAGATTCGTAACAACTCGGGAAAGGAATTTCAGACCTTCAGTAAGACAAGGCAGGAGAGTAACACTAATATAGTCACTTCTTTGTGGATGGAAGTCCATTACTTACTTTTCTTACAAAGTACAGTCACTAAAGCCCTTTGTCTGGCAATAGTCCATAGTCAATGGACCAATCCAGAACTCTATCTCAGGGCTCCTTCAGCTGCAACTGAACTGGACTCATTAAAAATAACCTCAAAATCTGCCTCTGTGAAAACAGTTCATCAGCTCCTTCCTCAAAGGATTAATACATTTGGTGCTTGGAAGAG